GACTTTTATTTATTGGGAGATTTATCACTAATTCAGTTTCTTTGCTGGTCATGTGTTTGTTCAAATTTTCTATTTCTTCCTGTTTCCATATTGGTAGTTTATAAGTTTCTAGGAATTTGTCCATTTCTTCCTGGTTGCCCAGTTTGTTGGCATATAATTTTTCATAGTATTCTCTTATAATTGTTTGTATTTCTGAGATGTTTGTGATCTCTCCTCTTTCATTCATGATTTTACCTATTTGGGTCTTTTTTCTTTTTGTTAAGTCTAGCTAAGAGTTTACCAATTTTATTAATTCTTTTGAAGAACCAGCTCTCAGTTTTGTTAATCCATTCTACTGTTTTCTTTTTGTTTCTGTATCATTTATTTCTGCTCTAGTCTTTATTATTTTCTTTCTTCTGCGGACTTTAGGCTTTGTTGTTGTTCCTTTTCTAGCTCCTTTAGTGTACGTTTAGGTTGGGTATTTGAGACTTTTCTTGTTTCTTGAGGTAGCCCATATTGCAATATACTTCCCTCTTAAGACTGCCTTGTTGTAACCTAAAGATTTTGGACTGTTGTGCTTTCATTTTCATTTGCTTTCCCATGTATTTCTTGAAATTCTTCTTTAATTTCCTGGTTAAGCCATTCATTCTTTAACCTTTAGTAGGATGCTCTTTAACCTCCATGTGTTTGTGGTCTTTCTAAATTTTTTTCTTGTGGTTGACTTCAAGTTTCATAGCATTGTGGTATGAAAATATGTGCTGTATGATTTCAGTCTTTTGGTACTTGTTGAGGCCTGACTTGTGACCCAGTATGCGATCTATTCTGGAGAATGTTTCACGTACACTTGAGAAGAATGTGTATTTTGCTGCTTTAGGATGACATGTGGAGTCTGTCATTCAAAGCCAGTTTCCTTGTTGATCTGCTGCTTAGATGATCTGTCCACTGCTGTAAGCATGGTGTTAAGGTCCCCTACTACTACTGTGTTATTATTATTATTATTATAATCATTATTATTACTATTATTATTGTATTGAATATTTCCTTCCACTCCTTTCTGGCCTGCCAAGTCTCTGTGGGCAGATCCACTGTGAATCTGATCTGATCTGTTTTCCCTTGTTAAGGTTTTTTTTTTCCATTGCTGCTTTCAGGATTCTTTCCTTGCTTGTGTATTTTGTGAATCTAACTATGATACACTTTGTCAGTGGTTGGCTTTAGTTGAAGTCAATGAGGGTTCTCTGAGCTTCTTGGATTTTGATGTCTGTGTCCTTCCCCAGATTAGGGAAGTTTTTGGCTATAATTTGCTCCAGTAACCTTCTTCCCATTTTTTTCTCTCTTCATCTTCTAAGACTCTTGTGATACAAATGTTATTACATTTAAATAAGTCACCAAGTTCCCAACATCTACCTTTGTGGTCCATTACCTTTCTTATCCTCTTCTTTTCAGCTTCATTATTTTCCTTCATTTTATGTTTAGTATCACTGACTCACTCCTCTACTTCATCCATCCTCATTTTTAAGACTTCCACTTGGGATTGTGTCTTGGTTATAACAGTTTTAATTTTGGCCCGACTAGATTTTAGTTCTTTTATATCTTCAGTAAGGGATTCTCTAGTGTCTTCTATGATTTTTTCAAGCCCAGCTAGTATCCTTATAGTCATTGTTTTAAATTCTAGTTCAGACAACTTATTTTTGTGTGTATTGATTAAATTCCTGGCCATGAGTTCTACCTTGTATTCTTTTTTGGGGGGTAAATTCCTCCATCCCATCATTTTGCGCAGAAAAGAAATTGAACAAAGAGAAAAAAGAACCACCACCAACACACACATTCACACACACACACACACACACACACGGCAACAAACAGAAACAAGACAAACAAAAACAAAAAAGCTAAAAAATTAGATCTGGGTATGTTTTGGTCCGCTTGTTAAAAGAATCTAAGTCCCAAAATAAAACAAAAGTAAGCAAAAATTAGAAATATACATAAAAATGTTTATGTAAAAATAAAAATAAATAATTTTTAAAAGTTTACAAAGGATTTGGAGAATATACGAACATAAATGAAAAGAGTAAAGGAGTATTGAATAAAAGCAAGAAGGTCGGCCCTCTTCCCCTGGAGCGGAAGCTCTGCAGCCCCGTAGGCTCCGTGAGCTCGGCGGGCGGAGCTGCTGCTGCGGGGGTCCGGAGACGGGGGCCGGGGCGCCCGCTCCGCCGGCAGGGAAGAGGCGCCGCGGGCCGGGCAGGCGGGCTGCGCTCACAGCCAGCGGCCTGCCCTAGGGGGCGCTCCTCGCTCCCCGGACGCTCCCACGGCCGCGAGGGAGGAACATGGCGGCGCCCGCGCTGCCGTCCGCGCGCTCTTCCGCGAGCCTCGCACACAGGCCGTGACCCTCCCCGTCTCCCCGGTTTCCTCCCGAGCCCCGCCCCCCCGCCCCGTCCGAGGCTGTTTATCTCAGGCGCCCCAGTCTCAAGACCCAGCATTTCGGGGCGGCCGCGGGGCAGGCGCTGTGCCCAGGGAGCGTGTCCGTCCGGGAACCGCGGGTCCCGGGAAAGCGGGGCAGTGAGGGGCGCGGGTTGGGTGGGGGACACCGCGCGCGGGGGGGCCGCGGTGGCGGGCGAGACCGCGGCGGGGGGACCAGTTTCCCGCAGAGCCCGGCGTCGCGCTCACCGCCCCCGGCTCCTGTGGGCGGGAGCAAGGCCGCGGCGGGGCGTCCCCTCTTCCCGAGCGCGCCCCCCCCCGCCGGGGCCCCAGCGCGGCGTCCGCGGTGACCCTCCCCGCCTACGCCCCGAGGGCCGCCACCTTGCTCCTCCGGACCGCGCAGGCCGGGCTCCCGAGCTCTGCCCACGCCTGCGCCGTCGTGGGGGCGCAGAGGGAGCCGGGGCGGGGGGACGGGTGTCTGGGGTGGAGGGCGGCTCCACGTGCTGCGGCCCCGAGCCCCCCGCCGGGAAGGGGCGCTTGAGAGCCTTTGGTGCAAAATCGTGGCTTTTCCAAGCCGGGGGACGGGCCCCGGGACGGGGAGGCCGCTGCAGGGCGTCCGGAGGGGCGGCTGCCGGCGTCCCGGGGGCCTGGGAGGGCGGGACAGAGGGGTGTCCGCAGGGACTGCCGCCCGCTGAAGAGGACTCCCCCCTGGGCACCGGCCACGCCGCCTCTGCTTCTACCGAGGCGCTGGCAGGGGCGCGGCTGCGGTTTCCCGGAGGGAGGTGTCCCCCGCCTGCCCCAGTCCGCGTCCGGGATCAGGCGCGGAGGGAGCTCGGTTGCGTTTGCGTGTCCGTCGGGCCCAGCCCGCCGCAGCTAATGCGGGGAGGGGGCGAGTGCGCGTCTCCGGACGCCGGGCTGCGGGGGCGAAGGCTCGTCCTGGGAAGCCGCCGGGACGCCTGTGAGCCGAGGGGGGCCACGGCGCTCCGGCGGGGACAGGCGCCCACGCGTCCCGGAGCAATGTGGATCACGCACCCACGGGCTCGGAAAAGTGTCTGCTCCCGGCCCGGCCCGGTTCCCAAGACGCGGCCCGTCGCCGGCCAGTCCTTCGGGGGACCTCGCCGCAGGCCGGCTCTCCCCGTCCATCAGCGTGTTGTTGGCCCGTTGGCGTGTCACAGGGAAAGCGCCGGTGCGTGCGCAGCTCCGGGAAGGACAGCAGGGGCAGCGGGGTGTGGGGGCTCGCGGGGCGGCTCGCCCGTCTGCGCGCGGCGGGAGTCCGCATCCCTCTCCCGCCCCCCTCTCCCCGCCTCTCCCCGGCTCCCGCAAGTCCTCCGTCGGCGGGGCGCGGGGTGGGGACCCGTCCCGACCCTTCCTGCCCCGCTGCATGCGTGTTCCACAGTCGCCGCGTGTCTCTTCCGCCCGAGGACTTTCACCCAACGGGGCCGCTCGCCCCTGCACATGGAAGCTAAAACCCCTCTTACTGGAGGGTCTCGGGGTACCCCGTTCTCTCGACGGCATTTGTCGTAGTCGTATTTCATACTTACTTGATCAATGCCCAGCTCCCCAGCCAGACTCTGGGCTCCAGGAAAGTAGTGAGGTTTCCGCTTCACTGTGTCCACAGCATCTCCTTACGGTCCTGGCACAGCGCAGGTGCCCAGTTACGATTTACCGCGTGGACGGATGGACGGACGGACAGGCATTTCTAGTCCAACAGCCAGCCTTGGAAGAACCCTAGGACAGTCCAGGAGGACCAACAGTGCGGAGACCGACTCAGGGCTGTGCTGGGAGCAGTCAGCAGCCCTCCTCGCACCTGCAGTGACTAGTCACCCTCCCCTCAAAACCACTTACTAACTTTTAATCTCTGCTGTACCATACGAGATCTGTGGGGTAGAGAGCAAGTTTTTCTAGTTCATCCCAACATCTTAGCTGCCTGACCTTTAACAGACATTTGCTCCATGTTGGGACAAGACAGTGTTTAGGGAAACAGAAGGGACCTAGTCTTAAGCTCCGTGGACCCTGAAGTTCCCAGAGAGGGTTTGCCGTCCTCAGGAGAGCTGCCTGCCGCCCCGTATTTCCTGACTTCACCAACTTGGAATAGTCTCATTCTAAGCCTCAAGAGAGTCAGGCCCCAGGAGCTTCAAGGTATGCATTAGAACACAATCTTCCTTGCTCCCGATCTAGTACTCCTCCCACTTCATTTCCAAAGGGTGCTCCCACAGGGCAGTCTGAGGACCCGTGTGCTCCTCCTGGGGAAAGGGCTCACCAGCACAAAAGGAAACAATGAGTTACATTCACCGAGAAGTCCGAGCAGGAAAAAAGGAATACTTTAAATGGATCCTCTTTGTGTAAGGAAAGCCTAAAATTACACCAAGAGACAAAATACACTATATAATAATGTCCGTGGAAAATACCTTTTTTATTATAAACAGTATAAATGCTTCCTGACACATCTTGCAAATATCATACACTTTCTTTTCTTTGCCTGAACTTCTGTGAACAAGAGGTCCCAGCACGTCCGAGATCGCTTGTGGCGGTTCCCCCATTCAGCGAGCACCCCACGAGGGGTGAGTAAGCTGTGCCGGAGGGGGAGACGACAGCACAGAGAGGGAGAAGCTCATTTCCACATCCGCAGGAGGACTGCCGTCCAGTCGGAGGTTCTCTTTATTTTGGATGTTTCCTTATTTTGGAAGTATGTTTTTGCATGCTTCCAATTTACAAGATACACTTTCTATTTTCAGAAAAGAGGCTGTCCATCCACGGTGAAGGGGACAATTAGAGCAATTACCTAGGCGCTACCTTTCATCTTAAAGAATCTGTTGATTTATGGGAGAATGACGCCTTAGATCATTGTGATAGCCATTTTAATCCTTTGGTATTTGGGGGGAGACCTGGAATGTTTGAATACAAAGAGAGATGGGCTGTCTTTATCTTCTTTGTGGGTAGGCCTGGGATCACGGTCAACAACGAGAATTAAACCGAGCCCACAGACCACATCTACTGTCCTCAGCCTCGGGCCCTGTCTCTCATCTGGGGTGACTGATCCTAGTGTCTGTAGGAACGGGGACACGTACATTCAAATATTCTCAGTGCAAAACCCAAATCACTGCTTTGGGAAGCTGTCCACAATGTCTTTATTACAGATACTTCCCTTTGGTTTCTGTCTGTTCCTGGTATCATATGCTCCCCGCAGACCCCATTCACACACTATTATACTTTTTAATAAAGATGATTCATTAATTACATAACTGTGACTTGCATGTATGCCTGCGCAAAGTGTCCTTATAAATACATTTCAACATTGTGCTCCCTTTGACACACCGCACGTCCCCTGTCTGTGGTGGGAAACAGCGTGGGCCATGGCTCCGTGCAGCGCGCGAGAATCAGGTGATCCTCGCGGCCGCTGGATTCCGTTCCTTCAAATGCACCGTGGTTCCAGCCACGGCTCACTGTACAGATGCCCTCTATTCCGAGATAAGTTTCCGAAGCTTGTTCCCAGAACTAAGCTCTCCCGACCTCCCCTCCCCCACACCCGGATCGCTGGAAGTGCTCTGTCCAATGCTCGCCAGGATTTAAATAACAATATTTAGAAGACACTTAACACCACAACAGGGAATTTGCTGGCATGACGCGCACAACACGCTTGCTCCAGATGCTATACTCAAACTGTATGGGCCCGTTGAAGAAATAGATATAACCTGGAGGAAAAGACCAAAAAGAAAATTGCAGAGTCTGAAAACAGGAAGAGTTTATGCCAGCTCACACTAAAAGTCCGACCTGTTAGACCCCATTGCTTTCTAACACGCCAGCATCTGTGATTAGAACCCTACCAGTGCCCTCATAGATTGCTTATAGTTACGGGAGGGAAAAAGTATACAAGTTTCTCAGGTCTCCTAAACTGTCGCCTTGAACTACTGCTCATTTTTTTAAATAAAACTTTTTAAGATTTTATTTATTTATTTGAGAGAGAGAGAGAGTGTGAAAAGAGGGAGGGCTTCCTGCAAAGCAAGATCGATGGGGGACTCGATCCCAGGACTCCGGGATCATGACCTAAGCCAAAAGCAGACGTTCAACTGACTGAGCCACCCAGGTGCCCTGAAATAGCAGTCCCCTTGCCGTGAGTTCCAGTTTTGATGCTTGACATATTGATACTACTTATTTAAGTTTGGGAAAATGCCCCTTTGCATAATTAAAGCAAAAATAACTATGTAGTTACGATAGTCACTGGCCTTTCCATGTAAATGACTCCCCACTCTGCCCCTGCTTTAAATTATGGCAATAGTTTATGTCTCTTGGCATCATTAAGCACAATTTAAGATAATGTTGGGACACCTGGGTGGCTCAGTCGGTGAAGTGTCCGACACTTGATGTTGGCTCTAGTCGTGATCTCAGGGTCATGAGATCGAGCCCCACGTATGGCTCCGTGCTAGGTTCTCTCTCTCCCTCTGCCCTTGCCACTTTCTCTCCCTGTCACTCTCTCCAATAAATAAATAAAATCTTAAAAAGATAAGATCGTGTTTAAAGTTTGGCATCTTATATTTGTGGAATTAGCAACCATTTAAGGAACGTTTTCGTTTATTCTAAGTGTGGTATGTTTTGTTTCCTATGTAACTACTCCTTAACTGCCATAGGTCTCTTAGCACATGTAAGTCCTGTGTAAAACTGCTCTCTAAGGGAAATGACTTTGAGGGGCTACAGAGCCCCTCGTTGAGGTCAACGTGATGGAACTCGTTACCGTTTTTCTCGTAGACGGCATCCACTTTATCACCAATCCCTGGGAAGTCGTCTTCTATCAGCCTGGGGTAGTCTCTATCCATGACCTGGTTAGTGTTATCGTAGCTACGCAGTAAGAAATAGAAACTCTTAAGTGGGTTGTATTTCTTAGGAATTAATTGTCTTAGAAATGAGACAGTGGATTATCATGACACCTTTCAAAACTGACAAGAGTTACAAAATTTTAAGTCCGTTTAGAACATCCAGTAGATTTTTCAAACTCAGAGTTAGGATGCTGAGTGCAAGGCAGATGCTTGCTGAGCATTTGTGGCCTTGTCTCGGGCCATCTTTCTAAAGATCGTCACAGGCTCACTTCCATTTCACAGACGGCTTACCGGTTATGAACGTGTGTTATTAGGAAAGTGTTCTTAGACCAAAATAAATGCATGTTAGTGCATTGAACAACTATATACTGATCTCCTAGACAACTCACTAGGTGTGGTAATGGAGGCAGGAATATTTGACATATAACTTCTGGACTGAAAAGTTATAGGGGCATCTGGTGGATCTGAAGCGATGAAGGGGAGCACGGCTCGCCCCTCCCATTGCTACAGTTCCATAGTCCACCTGCCCTGTACACAGGCACACCCGAGCCAACCACACACATCCTGAAATCAGCCTGGAATCCTGTTAGGTACTGCCGTTTCTGTTACTGATGAGAGCTTCTCGTCCTTGTGCTATGTTCCAGTAGGTGAAAGACAAGATGCACTGAGCCAGGAAGGGAGGCGGGGCACGTCTACACAGCAACACTAAGCAGTGGAAGCCAAGCGTCAAGACAAGGAGACACCAAGGGCCATAGGAGGACATGAGAAGGGACGTGGCCTGTGGATGGGATGATCCAAGAGACTTTGAGCTTAAATGGTATTTCCAGTTAACTTTGACCAGAGGATAGAATTTCAAGAGAGAGAGATGCAGGGAAAGATGTTCCAGCCAAACAGGGGGATAAAAGCACAGTGTTCTTGTGACATGGTAAGTCACACACCCTCACCGCACCATGAATCTCACCTAGGGCATAGGGACTGGAACAGCAGGACCGGGGAGAACCTGACTGTAGTACTTAGACAGTCGTGAATGTCATTGTCAGACTAAGGAACCCAGACAACAAAGAAGACATACAGGAATGTGCGTGTGTGTGCATGTGTGTACACATAAAGCTACTAATTTAGACCTTTCAAGTATGGGATTCCTATGAGATACTCTCATCCCCAAATGCATACATGGCTCTAACCTCTTAAATGCTGCCAGTGTCAGAGCTGCCTTCCTGTGGACATACGCTTGGAATATTCCAACTCCGCCCATCCTTCTAAAAGGGGCTGACTTTAAAAACCACGGGCCGGCAGCTTCCTGGCCCACCTCTGCGCTGGATGAGCGTGAGAGAATGACTTACACCAGCGAGAGCGGTGCGGGACTCACTCAGCCCCTGCGACACAGTGCGATGGGTCCGTGAACATGGCGGCTCACCTCCAGACCTGGTTTCCCGAGAAGAAGAGCGTCTTCCCTGTGTCTTCAAAGTGGACGGCTGCGCTTATCTTCTTAACCTCTTTTGGAAATCCCAGTTCAGATATTTTTTGGGGGTAACCTTCCAGAATGTCATAACCATTAAGAGCCCAAAATTTTCTGCCTAGAGTAAGTGAAAGAATAGATTTATTACCCAGGGGACTTCAGTAGGATTCACGTTATGTAGATATTTACTTTAACAAAGAAAGACTCATTTTATACATTTAGAAATCGATTAGGTTCTGTGTTTGTGAAACACAGAAATAGAGCATTCTTCAAACAAAAAATAGGATTTAAGATGCTAATTTCCTAAATATGAGTACAATTACCACCAAATATCTTAATCAATTTGGCAACATCTTACGTCCGACTGCTAATCTGGAGGTGGGTGAAAAGTGTATTAAAATTTCTTCATGAATAAGCAGGAGAGTGGGAACAGCGAACTAGACTGAAAAGTCAGATTTCATGCCTGATAACGTGATTTTATTGTAGCATTAATTATGATGTCAGTAGAGTGCTATTAGCCGTTATGAATGATGATCAGGAAGACAGAGCAGCAGTTTGGAAAACTGTCCCTGATTTGATGTCGAGAGAACAAGTAAAGTATGAAAATGTATATATACCATGAATATAAATATTCAAAAATCCCTTTGACACATGGTGAAGGGTTACCAAAAAAAGTGAGAAAATGAAATAAACTGACTTTTCAGAAGGGGGAATTATCGATCATATTTTTTCAGTGTTTCAAGAGGTACATGGTCATAACATTTGCTCAGCAAATAATTTTTGAGAGGAAGTAAGAAAAAACTGACATGACTGTTATAAAACAGTGAACTTATAATGATAAGAAATAATGGTGACTTTTTACCAGTCAAACTTGGGGACATTTGGTAGAAAGTTTCCAAGTATGCTCTGTTTAATATTTTGTTATACTTGGCTCTTAATTTAAGCACTTTTTAATACCTTTAAAAATACTTTTAAAGAATTTTTTAAATTTTTAAATATTTCAAGTATTTTTTTATTTCGGGACTGGTCATCGTGCTAAGATTCCGGCAGCATCGGGTTCATCCCCGCCTGCCCGGGGCGTGTGGGAGGCCTCCGGGAAACGGCTCACCTCTGAAGATGAAGATGAGGTCCCGGGAGGGGTGCTCGTAGGCAGCGTCGATCCGGTTGGGAAGTTCCGGCCAGAAGGATTTCGTCAAGAACAGTTCGGCGTCCACCTGCTGAGGGTGCAGGCGCCAGAAGAATCTAATGCCAAAGTGAAAATCCGGAGTTTGATGAATGAATACATGAACACAGGAACAAACAAGCCTACTAGACCACGGTAGAAGCGCGAAGTTCATCTCTCGTGTCTCGGTACCCCCAAGTTTAGGCTGTAAACACGCTCTTAAATCGCCACCTATGTCACCAGCACAAACTTTCCGGACCCAAAGGAATTCGTGTGGATGCTCTGACAGTTTACTGATGCGGAAACTGACTCCAACACTTGGGTTTTCAAATAGGTAAACTGGGTTCCTGTACTGACGCGGTTTTCTTTATAAAGAGAAGCTGCGTCACGCCCAGATGAGCCACGGAAAAGGTAAAAGTAAAGTGTTCATCCCTTAGTCACTTATTTCATCCGAAACATGTAAAAAGAAAACAAACAAACAAACAAACTACCCCCAAATCTATTATTTTCACTGTTAACATCGCCTTTGGAAATGCGACTGGATGTTAGGCAATTTGCAGACACGGCCTCACAAATGTCTCACACGTGTCCGGGCCACGCAGACTGGGTAAGAGCGTATCAAGAGCACCTGTCTTTAAAGATCATCGTTTCTCCTCGGAGGCTGGTGATGGCGTCCAGGGATAAGGCGGGATCACATTTGTCTGGTGTCTTGGGATGTTTCGGGTTGGGGTCTTCGTCTCCTGGGCCTGCAGGCATGAAACGAAGGGAAGAAGGTGGTGAGGCCGGCCTTCCCGAGGCCCGCCCCGGCTAGTGGAGGGTCACAGGGTCCTCTGGGGCGGGGGCAGGACGTCCCCAGCTTCCACACCAGATCCAAACCCCTGCGACCTTCCTCCTTTCCTGCGGGTTACCAAGCTCTTGCAGGTGGGCTGGCTCCTCCCACTTCCATCCTCAAGACCCTTTGAAATTCTTCTCAAGCAGATTTGGGTTTCTTGAGGTTGGAGATAGAAATGGGTGGGAGGGGATGGGAGTGAGACTCCAGGGAAAACTTCCCCATGCCTGGCACAAGCTACGGGGCAGGATGCTCTGCAGACGCACCTTTCTCTTTGAGCCGTTTCTGGGGGCACACCGTCCCTGCGGGAGTCCTCCCCTCTGCTCTATCTCTTGCCTCTTGTACCAGCTGGCAACGTCGGATGCAGTTTTACCCCTGTGCCACGGCTGTGAGTGAGAAGCCAGGCCTTCGGCAGCCCTGATGTGCCACGAGTTAGCCCATGCCCAGTACCAGTCCTGCACTGCTGCTTCTCCACCTGGTTCCCGTTAGTTCTATCATCAACTGCCTGGTCATAATATTGTAGAGATAACAAGAAACACAAGGCGCTTGCCCACACCCACACTAGCTGCTGGAGTCCATTTCAGTCCAGAGGGAGAATGATCGGCCGCGTGCCATGAGCAAGGCTTCTGAGCTTGCAGCTCTGGAAGAGTTTACACTGATGACTTTAACTCTGTTAATAGGGGGCAATTTTGCTAGATTGGGTGAGGTTTAATTATTCTGTAACTATTACTGAAAATTTGGAAGAAAAAAAGAAGAGATTCTTAACAATGGTCATCTACAATAGTAGATGTTGATTAAAAGTTACCATAGGCCACTTGAATGGATTCTTCTGTGGCAAACTGATGTGGCGGAAGAAATACTCAGAATTTATAAAAGCTGGTTAAGGCCACACCTTCACCCTCAGCCTCGGTACCAGCGACATACTCTCTAAGCGCTACAGGGTGTAGTTTCTTCATTGGTTAAATGGGGAATAGTTTCCTTCCTTACGTCAGAGGTGTTCTCTGGGAATCAAAGATACCCCTTGTGGTAATAAAATACAAATAGGAATCTGCAAAAGCTTTGGAGGACAGGATATTTTCTACTTGAGCAGATGCTCTGATTCAGAAAGGGAAAATGGGTATGTCTTCCCAGGTTTTAGTAACAGAACCAGGCCGGCAATATTGGTAACGATAACCTCACTGACGATCTTCAAGTCTATTCTGTTTCTAGACTGATAAATTAAGAGTTACCGTAGAGAGACTGGATGCCTTGTACATCGTCATCAGGAAGCATAAAGTGGTTCTTGCCCGTGTAGGTGTAGATGGGAAACATGAGTGCTCCCGGGTCCTTGGAGTGGTCGAGGCCCAAGGAGTGGCCAAACTCGTGGGCAGCAACAAGGAACAAGTTGTAGCCTATAAACAAAGCGACGATGAGAAAGCAAGGCAGTGATCGTTAACGGAGGGAATGCTACTTTCCTCACCTCTTTCTCTTTCTTGACTGTTTCACTCTTTTTTAAAAAAAAAATTAAGATTCAATATTTGGTTGCTTGAAGGAAGAGTCAAAATATTGATTTAATCCTTATAAATCATTTAATGTTCTCTTTGATTATAGCTGCCTACGTCATTAGAATATCAACAGAGTGCTGTCAAACAGTTAGCAATCAGTGAGGGTTTACTGGGAGGACAGTAGGAATCCCAGGTGCTCTTTGTTTTCTCAGGTCAGGTGAGGAAAGCGGACAATGGAGGCCTCGAGGGAGGAGTCATGGGAAGTCACATAGGGTGCTACCTGTCAGGGTGTTTCTAGAACATTGTCTGAACCAGAGGCATCATGCAAATAGATGATGACCAAGTTGGAGCATGCACTAAATAGGGTCTCTGGAATCTCCTGGGGGACAAATCCTAACCAAATGATCCTTTCCAGAGTATCTCTAGACTCTAAAGTTTAAAGAAATAGAAACTCTGGAAATGACTGGCCAACTTTCCTCAACTTTAGAAGACTCCTGTGGCACTGTATCTACATTATTTCCTCTAGTCATTCTTTCTACCAATGTCTGAGCCTCCTACTACAGATATTTTAAATTGAAAAAAAAAAAGATGAAAAGTTGGGAAAAAAAATATGTGAAGCTGGAGTCACTGGTTTCAATTTGACCTTAAATACCATTTGCTGTCAGAGACTGCCCCTGAAGGAAATGTATGAGCAGCACAGTAACCCTGCAGCCCATAAGGGCAATCAAAGTGCACATCATCTGAGTATAAAGCAATTCTTCACTGAAATGACTCATGATGGGTCCCGTTCTTGGCCTTTAGCTGAGAAATCAATCATGGTTTGTTTGTGAATATTTTCATTCGTTTCCACTAGCTGTTTCAAATCCGGGAGCCTAAAGCTGGGGTTTACCGTGGCTCTGTCTGAACAGTACTAGATGTTAAGATCCTTCTTACCTGTGTAATATTCAGAACACAAATGCATGAATCTCACCTTTCTTTCCAAAGATACATAGAGGCATTGAGGCTGAGGCACTAGTCAGCCAAGGCCCAGTTTTACTCTTTGGAAAAACAATTCTTCTGATTTAAACGAATAACAAAAATGAGCTACCTTTGAAGACTAGCTCTAACCATCACAAGCAAGGGTCGGCGGAGATCCGCAGGTCCGTGGGAGTTGGAGCAATCTCGCCTTTCTCCTTACATGAATATTCTCAATTCTTTTGAGCTTTAAAGATTCATCTACTGACCGAATTCATTCAACACTAAGTTTCATTTTGCTCTCATAAATGTAATTTTTATCTGGTCTGTTTCATGCTGTTTGGAGCAAGACATCATCTTGATTTGTTGGAAAGGTATTTGTAAAATCAGTGACATATGTGTGTCTGAAACTAGGAATTCACATAACAGAGGACAGAAAACATGCTGCACTTGTGCTGTTAATAGTTCTGTCAAGGAAAAGAAAACTCTGTCAACTCACATCCGGTTCGTCTGGGACCTGCCTCTCCAGCCCTAACAGTTCTTAGGCATGTATTTGTAATGAACTTTTCTTCCTCTGCACAGCGAAAGGAAATCCACAGTAACTACACCTTGGCTGACAGAAAGACATTTGGGTCCTAATTCACAGCTGGCTAGCATCCCTCAAGCCACTAAACTAAACAGCTCACTTTTAGTGATTTGCATAGGTTTGTAGAAATGTCCCGTGTAGACACTAATGAGCATAAGGTAAACTCGTGCTTTTTTTGAAAACTATAATCAACTATGGAACGTAATTTACAGTATGCTTCCTCGCTTCTTATCAATGGGATCACCGTCTAACCTAGTCTAGTAATCATGAATCATACCTTTGTAAGAAATATTACCTTTGGAACTACTTGTCCAAGTTTCGTCATCATCAAAATGGGCATCCCCTCCATAGTTTGGCCCAGGAGGAAAAGCATGAGCCAGCAGACCAGAAGGTCCATCAAATGGGTAGAAATCGCCATGTTCTACGCACAAAAAGGAAGAGTTAAGAATCTAATTATATCCAGCAGTGCCTGGCACAAATGCTTGAATTCTGCAAAAAACAATGAATGACTGAAAGGAGGAATTTAAAAATGGAGACAACTGGGGGGAAGAATGTAAAAATGTCTCAAAAATGTTTCTGCACCATTACCTTTAGTTCCAAAAGAGATCATGATATCAGCAGTGCCATCATGAAGTCTGGTGAAATTCAGAGGGGTCACATCTGACCAAACTTTGAAGGCTTTTCTGAAGGCCTTTTCAACCTCAGAATGAGTCAGATCAGGGGTATAATTCACAATCCTATTCAAGAGAGAAAGTTTCAATTACATTTTTGGAAGGAGAAAGCTATTTGAGAATATATTTTCTTGGAATACTGCTTTGCAACTCAAAATGCAGTGGGTTCCCTAAAAGTTCTACCAGAGGTCCATTATTTCAAAGAACTTATTAATTATGATGCCATGCAAAGATAACAAAATGAATTCAGACATTTGAGTATCTCCAAATATCTGACCACTTGTAATTTTACACTTAAAGTATTCAGATATTTAATGAAAGTTATATTTTATGATACAGGTTTGGAGTTGTATTGCTATGATCTAAATAAAGGAAACAGCTTTGTCAAGTTCCTAGAGAGAGTAGGACTCTCCATTTTTGAGCACTCTTAATAAATATGCCTCATGTAGTACATATGAAAATTTTATTACACCTACTTTTACTTATAACTTGATTTCTTTCCTAAAAAAAAAAAATGCTTTGCGATTTCCAACAAAAAATCATGCTGGGTTAATGCAGCTATAATAGATGTCATGAGATATTCTCACCAATATTAAAACTATTACTGGAATTATTTAACTTCTAATTAAGTATGTAAAGCCTACCTAAAATAAAATGGAACCAAACTTGTTCTGTCACCTATGGCTTGTGCTGAAAATTGGGCATTTTATACTATTTTAAACACTAACAAAGATCACAGAAAGATAGCCGCTGGCTCACCTGTAGGTCAGATTCGTCTTGGACCACTTGAGAGTTCGGGGGAAAACATTGTACTCGCCCACATCGGGGACCCCACATCTTGGTTTCTTCATGATGTCCAGGGTGTTATCATCAAGTTTGCCAGTGACCTCTAAGCCGAAGAAGGACTGCATTTCTCGGAGCCTGTCAACCACGGAGCCTGCGCCCGACTTCTTCAGGATTCCAGCAGGATTCAGGGGGTAGTAGTAGGATTTCAAGTAGTGCTGGAAAAGAGACCAGAATGGCCTGCCTTTAAAAGAGAAGGGCACTTGTGAGATTCAGCACCCCTTTGGGATTGGCAAGATACCCTACCTCGGCAAGCTGGAAGTCCTCCTCAGACAGATCGTCCTCGCCATCTCTGGGAAGGGGCAGGGACCAACACCGAGTCCAGCTCAAGAAGAAGAAGGCAGCCAGGATGCCTGGGAGCATCGTGATGGACATGCCGGAGCTTCTGCCTTCTCCCAGACAAGCACCTTTACTTTTATAGACCTGCAGGGGTGACTCATCATTTATGGGCAAGCTCCCGCTTCCTAGTCCATCCAAAGTAAACATGCTTACATGGCGACTTTTTTTTTTTTCTCCCAAGAAGTGTGGTTTGTGGTAGAATTTGAGGGAAATATAAAATGAGGGCTTCTCTCATTTCAGCAATGCCTCCAAAACCATCTGGCAAAATAAATGGCCTCAGCATATTTATGGACACTTGGGAAGAAGTGGGAAGAAGCAGTGAGTCGTAAAATGTTCACTTTACTGGGCAAAAATGTTTCTCCCTCTGTAGGAAAGCAGCTATCTCTCCTTTTTTTTTCAGGTAAGAGTGTCAAGATGCTGCACTTACTTCCATGAAGAGACACTTAGTCCTGCTTCTAGAAGCTCCGTAACCTGGTTTATTTTCCGTAGGGCGACTCCAGAGGGAGACGCTGTGTGTACGTGGGGGCCACAGACCTGGACCAGACCCCAGCGTGGAGGCCGGGAAGGGCCAGGGCGCAGGTGCGGGGCTGAAGGGTGCAGTGCACATTTAAAGGTGCTGGTGTGAAAGCCGGGCCTTCTGGCTACGACTGGCTACGACTGGCTACAACCCCGGGATCCCGCCTGAATTCCCTGCGGGTCCGGGAAGAAGTGGGAGACTGCATCCGAGTACAAGATAAGGGCTAACACAGACTGGGATCACCACCCGCTGGGCTTAAGAGGCATGATGTCACTTAATCTGTAGAAGAACCTTAGAAGTAGGAACTACCGGAGGGCTCGATTTCACTTTCCGTATGAATAGTCTGAGAGGCCGAGAAGTTAAATGCTTGTTTGAGGTCACGGAGTTAATAAATGGTACCGTCAGTACTTGAATCCCAGCCGGTAGACTTAAGATTTCATGTTTTTTAAAACACCATCTGGTCTGGCTTCTCCCCCATTAACTCTCAGAAATTTCAAATATGGAGTGGCTTTGTTCCCACACCTCTGGGAATACCCAGGAAAACTAGGGGTCTAGGTAACTCATGGCCAATTTCAAGTGTCTTAATTTTGACTTTTAAATTTAAGTAGTAGAAGTACCTGAGGTCCAAAACCTCAGGAAAATCATTCACGAGGCTCCTTCAAGAACATCCCACTTTTAGAACCATGATGTCAACATCGAATGTCATCTTTGGTGCCCCACAGATGCAAGTGGATAGAAAAATACGAGTCATGATCTTCAGACAGAATGACTGAAATTGTAAGTTAATTTACGTGATCAGGAGTCAGAGAGCGGGTCAGGTCTGGGACATGTGAAGACAAAGGCACAGAGTGGGAGTACAGATGAGGGTGGGTGGGGCAGGGAACCCCCCACACGTGGTGACGTGCCGTCATCTGGACTGGCCCGGGCCTCCGAGGTAACCAGAAAAGCCTACAAAATGTAAGCAGTCGGTGGAGGGCAATTTATAATGCTTTTTCCAGAGCAGAGCCAAATAGATCCTTAAAATTTTAAATATTTTAAATTTAAATTTAAATAGAATTTTAAATATTTCCAATGAGTTCAAGATTAGATTTAGGCTCAACCAACAATGCAAAACTATTACTTGTTTGAAGCATCGTCCATGAGCAGTGGTTAATTTCAGACTGAGTGGTAATGATCGGAAAGTCTGGCTCATCTACTGAGCTTATAGGAAATTCGTTCATTTGAAATCATTTTTTTCACCAATAAAATTTCATAGTTTTTTAAAGTATCGTCATATTTTTAGAAAGAAGTCCTGACAAAGTTCAGAAACGAATGGCATTAATGTTTGGAAGTGGGAGAAGTGAATCAAATCGTTGACCGTACTTGTAGGCTGAAGCCACAATTTTTTAAAAAGCCACTTTCGATGAGGCACTGACTCTGCGGGATACCGTGCTGGTCACTATGAAGATAGAATGAAGGACAAAAGCCTTTTTCTTAGGATGGTGCCCGTTTCCGCCCCCTGGGAAGACACATTTTCAATGAGCAGTGACTGGGTGACTGACAATAAACAAACGTCACTGCTCACCCACCTCAGAATCAGTGCTTATCACCAAACATCGCTGGTGTTCTCCCACTTTCTCGTTTCGCCTGAGGACAGACTCAGTGCAAAATAAGGACACAGGTCAGTGACACCCGGTACTCAATTCTGCAGGGTTCTGAGTAAGGTAAATAAAAGTCGTCCAGACGACGAAACCAGAAGTCGATTCCTTCAGGAAGGGGCCGGGCTGCTTGTCTCTGGCTACTGTTCACGGGGGAGCGAGCTGAGCTGGTGATGGAGATGTGTCATCCCACAGAAATGTGTTGGCAAGTCTCCTGTCAACACACGTCCTTATCTCGGGCTATTAATGGTGAGAATGAAAGCCGGGCCTTCTGGCTACGACTGGTGAGGTGGTTGGCAGTTTCAGGTGACACCTTTGACACGGAGAAGCTGAGCCGGCGTTTACAAACGCTTCTTACAGGGCTCCCGGATCCCGGGAAATCGGAAAACCTGGGGAATGAGCAAACAGGACTGGACTGAATAAGAAATGTGTGTCTCCTGCTGATTCAGACATAAGCAATATGGGACTTTTTAGAAACAGACGTCATCATGTGTTTCTAAGTCCAAAACACCACTCAAGGGAGAATCAGAAATGTCCGTGACCCACCCCTGAGTAAAGCATGGGGCTGGGGGGGTTGGTTCCAGACCAGGAAAAGTGGGAACAAAGGCCACTGGAGTTGGATTAAAATTAAGAAAATTCTGTAAGTCAGAGAACCCTAAAGGCTTCAGTTTACAGGGTTGTACATTAACTATGTTGACAATGACACTTAGTATCTTTATGTTTCCGAAAGCTAAGCCATCTGATGGTGCCAGGGCAGGAAGTACTGGTTTCTGTAAATACCCTCTGATGGTTGCTTTGTTCTAGTTTCTGAGTTTTCCACCCACAGCCCCAGGGAACTGGTAAGGCCCTTAAACAGGAGCACGAACCTGGAATGTAGACCCTGGATCGCAGGGACACGAGCGCCCCACCGACCCGCTAATGCGCAGCCGTGATATCCCCCAGGTCAGCTGCTGAGCCCAGAGGGCCTCTGGTCAGAAGCCGCAGGTGCCGAACAGGAGGCCAGCAGCTGAGGGGTGCACTGGCCTCCCATGTGTGAACCCCACACTCCCCAGGGCTGGCTGGGTTCGTCCTGGGGGATCCCCTACAGAAAGAAAGGCAGTCTGCAAGAAAAAAGGAAATTCTTTTTATCCTCTCACTCTTACTACATCCTCTTACTCGAGGATGACATGGGAAAGTCAACACTTAACTTTCTGGCCTCACATTCTTCCTTTTTTAAATTTTTTGAAAGATTTTATTTATTTATTCTAGAGAGAGCGAGTGAGAGCGGGATGGAAGGAGAGGGAAATTCAAGCGGAGCGCAGGGCCCGATGTGGGGCTTGATCCCACGACCCTGACATCAGGACCTGTGCCACAACCAAGAGTCGGATGCTTAACTGACTGAGCTCCCCCAGCTAGTGCCCTGGGCTCAGTTTCAATGAGCTGTGAGTTTACAGTGCTTTGCTATGAAGACTGGATCCTGGATGTCCACGTCCGCCCCACTGAACCAGAGTTGCGAGAGAAAACAACCAGGAATAGCAGTCATTCTAGCCCATCCCTGTCCAAATGCCTCTGAAAAGGGAAAAATCTGGATTGCTTGGCAATGAATAATGGAAATGAAAACCAACTAGGAAATGGGAACTTTGTGGTTTTAACAACAAGTAATTGTAATATATTTAAAGATACCCAGTATTTAAACAAATGAAGCAAAAAGTCTATTTTTAAAGCAGCCTGGCCTCACCTTGACACCCTCATTCACTAAAGTCAAATTTGGTACATATTCTTAAACAACAACTCTTTTAAAGATTTTATTTATTTATTTATTTGAGAGAGAGCACAAGCAAGGGGGAGGCAGAGAGGGAGAGGGAGAAGCAGACTCCTCACAGAGCAGGGAGCCTGATGCGGGGCTTGATCCCGGGACCCTGAGATCATGACCCGAGCTGAAACCAAGAGTCGGATGTTTAGCCAACTGAGCCACCCAGGCACCCTGCCCCCCATATATATTTTTTAGGTTGATTTACTTAGACAGTAGTTGATCGTAAAGGTTTTTTTAAATGGTACTTTCTAGAACAGAAAGCTTCCCATGCTGTTGGTATGCTGCATTGGCTTTATTTTCAATTCCAGGAAAGCCATCTGGAACGCATTTTGGGTACTATGTTTCAGAGTTTGCCCTTCTTCACTGAATCTATCATAAAATTAAGAATGAACTCAAAACCACATAAAATCTGTCTTAATAAAACTATGTGTTAAAGAGGTTAAATTTTAAACATTTTCTATAAGCTCCAATTAGACGATTTCAGACAATGGTAGACAGGAATTCACGGCAACCACGAGCTTCCAACAAAGACTCCTGTAGGTCAGCCCAGCTGCGGGGCTGATTTCCTACCTCAGTCTACAGGGGAGAAGGCAGTTGTCCCAGGGTGAGGGCCACAGGCAGCATCCGTGCCTCGGGCGTCTGCCTGGAATGCCAGTGCACTGACTTCCTGCGGATATCCATCAGCACTACAGAGGGTCCCCAATGGTTTCCCCGTAAATGACAAGGAGGGAAAGGCCTTATTCTTGGCATGAGAGTTATGACCAGGCAATTAAAACACGGCTAAAGCGAGGATCATGGTAAGCTGACATCTAACTGGCAAGGAAATCCGTTCACGCTATGGACTGCCGGACGGGTGTGTGTTTCTTTACCCTCTCTGGGGATTCTGCTCTTGACCAAGTCTGTGGGGACCATGCGCGGATTGAGGACGCGGGTCTTGGAATCAGTTACAGCAGCTGAAATCCCAGCCCTGCCATTTGGGAGCTCCCTGACGTAGGCAATGTGTTTCCTCTCACTGATACAACAGTGAGCAAAACACATCCTAATCCTAGCCAGGAGAAAGGTGATGAGATAATGAGAGAGAAAAACAGCAGGAAAGAGGGGTCATGGGGGATGTTGCAATTTATTGACAGTGGCAGGAAAGGGCTCACGGAGAGGGGGCTTTTGAGTTGGGATC